GCCAAACTACGCAAAAAACATCCCCTGTTATATCGTATTCCGCGTTTCTTTTCGTGCTTTTAGAAGGATGTGACAATGGCGTGTACTCGCATTAGAGCACAATTGCCAAATTTTTACGACGCAAGAGCCTCTGATGTAAAACACACAATCTGTATCGATCAATTAAGTTGCCTTAAGCTCTTTTGCTGGTGTTTGGACATCGGCAAAATATTCAATTCAAAGACAAAGCAAAGGAAAAGTAAAAGAGAAATAAACCTTAAATTGTTACTTGTTTGAAATATTGATTTTTGCAAATCAAGAAGCACCTTTGCCACCATACGTGCATACTCGGCAGTTTCGTTAATCCAATTGCGCTTTTTTTCTCCAGGAAAGTCGTCATGGAAAGATTTGAAACCCTAAAAATTCAATTTCCCATCAAATTGAGAGCTGTAAAGATTAAATCTGCGTTTAAATGCCCCTAAATCCGCTTTCTTCCAACGATATTATTGAATAAATTATAGCTTTTGAAGAAAATTTTTTTCACGGATCTTATCTAATTTTATGCTTAACGCTGGTAATAATTACGGATGTTCCATTTAAAATTCATCACTCAACTGTTATTTTAATGCATAAATGACGTTAAATAAAAAGGTTCTAGCTATCAAGGGCAATGGATCAAGTTTGAAGGTAGCTGCGGGCATAGGCTAATACGCATCACCGTGGGAGCATCAAAAGCATAGCGCCTTCAAATCTATGGTCATGCAACACGCACAGTCATTGAGCCCGAATAGTTGCATCTAGGGGTTTTAACGGCGCTGCGCGTCGTATGGTTCACTCAAGTTAAGATCTAACAGGTGAACAAGAACGCCTCCTTTAGTGACTTATCTAGTTTATTCTTGTTTTTGTAATTTTCCTTTTTTAAAGACTCTTTTTTGTGACCTGCCCTCCAGTTTTCTTGCAGTTATCATCCTCCGACATTTCGAAAACATGGCCATTCTCCGTAAGACTTTGAATGCGAGAAATTAGTAATTTGTCTTTAAGTTGATTGCAATCAGGAAATTACACCTTTTTCATGCACGCAGGGCAACCGGAAGACTCAAAAGAGGACGCATTCGGGGAAAGTTTTACTTTCCCCGAACTCGTAATCAAATCACAATGTTTGAATGCTCTTTGAAGTGCATGACGCAGCATGGTTGCCTTTAAGATGAATTAAATATCCTTGATACCAAGTCTCACTCTTGATGATGTAACTATAGATTCCTTTGATCCGCTCGTTGGCTAAGTTTCTGATTGACGCATTGTGATAGTGATAAAATTGAGATCGTTAAAGTGAGGTGTATCCCTCAAAAGTACCAATGCTGTATTTTAATTATCAGATTGTATACGCAAACAAACACCGTATTAATTTTGATCGTATTACACTAAGTTATTAAGTTACCATCCCCCAAAGATCATAATCACAGTCATTCCTTAGACAGACTTTATGTCTAGAGAGACTCCATATGGTTTATATCATAATCAAGGGAGAAGGAATAAGGCATTCAACATAACACTTTAACTTTGAGGGGCTTGGAGGACAAGGCGCATAAGTGCAGTTTTTGAAAAAAATTGAACTATTAATTATTCGAAAAAAACTTACATATGCAACGTCTTAATGCATATTCTGTGAACAATTCGCTCCAAAATTCAAATTTTTAAGCATTAAACAGTTAGTTTAAAATTTCTTTTCGCCACAAGGATCCATGAAATTTCGAAACTTTAAACACGTATTTCTCGAATTAGCAAAAACTGCACTTATACCTGTCTTCCAAGCCTCTCAATTCAATGAGTCTTGAGTTGTATTCAGCAGCAAAACTTTGGAATCAGATTCTTGTCAGGAATCACAATGGTCATGCATTGCAAAACATAAAAAATGAAACAAAAATTCATGATATTGACAAACTTAGAGCTACCAGGCACTGACTACGGACCAACCGTAATATGTGTAAAACTTGGAATAATCTCCTTTCGTATCCTGTATTTCTTACAGAGGAAAATTATCTGGATCCCTTAAACTGATCATTCCCAAATTACGTTATTGAATTTTACTCGAGATTCTTTATGATGCAATTTCAAAAGCCCCCTTGAATCTTCCATAATTGCAAAGTATAAACCATAGGCTGTTTACTTTAGAAAAGGCGCCACCTGAGGACGAGTAAAATGCTAAAAATTCTTACAGCCTTTACTCAATCACATAGGCAGATCCAGACATTTCGAATGGGGGGTCCAGGTGGCTCCCCCAGAAACTGTCAACATTTCAAAGCACCTGATATGCAGTTTAAGTCAATTTCGACATTAATAATTACCAAATCTAAGCGTTTTTCCTTCTTCTTTTCTCCGGATCTTCTTTCTCTCTCTGTTCCTTTTTCTTCCTCCTTTTTTTCGAGCGAATGGGGGGGGGGGTGGCTTACGTTTCCTTTACCGCCCGTGGATCCGCCTGCTCAATCAGTTTTTCACGTATTTGTTAATCTCGCGAGTATTCCGAGTAATGATGGAAAACGAGAAGGCAACGATGTGACACATTTTGTGACATAAATTAGGGTCCAGAGAGAGACGGCGGGAGGGGGAGGGGGACTCGAGTCTGTAACTTGTTCACTGAAGCACGACTTACGTGTTTCAAAGAATAATGGCGCGGAGCTTGGGCACAATTGCGCGGGTAAATGAAAGCATGAAGTTGTGCAAGTGCTGTAAATAAAGAAGGGTTGAACGCAGTAGTTTCCCGACTTTAATGGGTTATGACTTGCCTGCGTTTGAAGTCTGTTGTTAGACCTTAGTAGCTTCGCAAAGTGCGCACCTTCAAGGTCTTTGCCCGTGCATGCGGGGGCAGCGGAGGGGATACTCGATGCAGTTAATTCAAATCTCGTGCATTTTGAGGATATCTATGCAGAATGGAGAGTTCGCAGGTGTCCGAATTTTGTATCTGAGTGGAAACTACTGCGTGAATTGAACGCGAGGATAGTCTTCGTTTATAAATTGCACTATTATCCGTGCAAGATGACGTTATTAGGCGGTTAATTTTCTCACTTTTAAATACGTTTTTATACTGTTTTCCCAATCCGAATTTTTTTAAAAAATTCTGTAAAATCACTACTCTCAGATTAAGCAATAAAAAATTGCATGCAAATGCTCCATTGTATGATCCACGTGTACCATTGTCTCATAAATGTTTATCCCATAGGTTCTTTGCATTAGGGTGTCAGCCCACAGGGACAGGAGCCCTCAAGTCAGAATGGAGATAATTTACAGGTGTCTAAAATTTGATTAGTTTCGTATTAAAGTGGAAGCTACTGATTATAATGAACACATGGATACCCATGGCTCATAAATTGAACAATTATTGGAGCAAATATGACAAAATGACCTAACCCTCTGAAATTCATGTGCTGTAATGGAAAATGCCGCCAGATTATGTCACTGGGCGGTACATTTTCTCACTTTTGAATCTATTTTCGTAGGTACTACTTCCCATATCAGAAAAAAAAATTATAAAAAATACTGCATAATCAACTGTTTTAACCACTTTCGGATGAAGCAATAAAATATTTGTGTGCAAATTTTCCATTTGGCAGGATACCGACTTTTAGATAACTTTCCACTCTCGTGTCCCAAATCTTCATTTTTTCTTCGCTGTGCACTTCGTAATTCAATGAAGCTGATAATTCTAGCAAAAATAAACCAGTTTTACCTCCCAACCAGTCTCAACTCACGAGCGGTTTGACTCTATTTACATGATTTACATGAAAGGCGGGTCCTTAATTCTTGTTTATTATTTTTAGTGTTTCATTTAAAACTGATAAGGACATGTAATACCTGTGTACCTGTAATATACAAATAGCTGTTTGAATTGATAAAAACGTTACTAGGAGTCAGGGCTCTTAGGGTATTCATAATCTTTCCTGAAATAGCTCCTTTCCTTAGGTGATCCCAGACGTTTTTTTATTTATTTATTTATTTATTTATAATTCATGTACATGAATGCCACACGTTGTGGCTATAATATTTGTCAACACCCCCCCCCTAAATATTACACATTAATATAATATAGGTACGTAAGAACACAGAGAAACATTAAGAATATTACACAATTTTACAAAATAAAATAAAAGGTATAGTAAATTACAGTTAAATATTATTAAAAAAATCATTTAAGGAATAAAAAGCCTTGCCAACTAGTAAGGCTTTTAGACCAGCCATAAACTCTCTTACTTCCCATTTCTGAAGAGCTTTTCTCAGGTTCAAGGGAAGGTTGTTGAACAGTCTGATGGCAGTATGAGACACAGACTGTTCAGCAACCTTCAGGCGAACAATTTCATAATTGATGAAAGGGTTTCTCATGTTCTTTATCATGTCCTTACAAATCAGGCCGGTGTCAATGGCAAATTTTAGGCTGTCTAGAATAAAAATAGATGGAAGAGTTAAAAGTTGGTACTTTATGAATAAGGGTTTACAGTGGGGGTTTACAGTTTTGCATCGTGATTTAGGAACGTTTAAAACGATCCTCAACAAACCATCATGAAAAAGAAAATTTCAGCGGACTTCGAGTAAAATTATACAATGTAATTTCGAGAATAGACTCCAGCGAGGTATCACAATGATTTGTCTCTAGGAAAAATTAAAATTAAAAATGCAAAAGAAAACATCGTGCTGCCCTCGAAAACTAAAGGTAGGCTAGTGTTTGTCAAGACACCTAATGTTTATCAAAACCGTAGGATTATTTCGGCCGTAGTCTTCATTTTTTGCAGCGACAAATCATTAGAATTCATTGCAATGTTCTATTCCTGAAGTTTTTAATTTTACGCGATAATTCGTTAAAATTTTAATTTTTATGATGCTATATCAATGGTCTCCTCAAATCCAAAGGTCGATCTGATTACAAAATTGATTTTTTCCCTTGATTTTTCCCCTTGTTCGACTGTGATATTTCCTTCCTTTTTGACATACGATTACGATGCTTCAATGGATTGTATTTTTGCTTGTTTCAGCCGGATTGTGTTGGGAAGCCTCAGCAAATGGTAAAACGTGCTTAGGAGTAGATATAATATACACGAACGTATCAAAGGAGACGTGCTGTAGTGCGAGACCGGGGACTATGTCATACTGGAGTTCCAAAAGTTACTCCAATTCAACTTTGTTCCTGCACATTCACATGGATTCCAATCATCCTTGCACTCCATGCAAAGGTAATCTTCGTTAACATCTTGATTTCACTTCCTTTTTCAGAAATTTTTTTTTACATCTCTGAGGTTCCTCAAAATAGTTCATATTTTTGAGTAGAATGCGTGGATTGTGAGCCATCGCCCGTTCTCCTTCTTCAACCAGAAATTGCAATACTTTTACACAAAACTAAATTTTCCTGAAAAAATTGAATAAAACCTCCAACCCTTTTTTCTCAAATTCAACTTAATCTGGGTTGGTTCCTTTCTGCAGATCAACTCGGTCCATTTGAGGACTTCTCCAGAGTTGTCGACCATTTCTGACTGGATCATTTATGAGCTTCATTTTCCAATCAAAAACTTAAATACCTGACTCACAATCAGCCGTAAAAACACGTATGTGCATATGGAAACTAATGGTACATACGTTGTTTTTAATCTGAGCCAGAAATTGCAGTTTCGAATCAAACTCTTGCATGTGCGGGGGATTTGCGATCTGAGTACTTTTTTTACTTAAAATTTCGCGAGAAACACGACGGTACCATCGGTATTCTCTGAAATCAACTCCAAAGCTCAAAAAGAAGTTGTCAAAGTTGAGGTCGTGATGGAGGGAATATCCCACGCTACCCTGAAAGATCACCTCTATATCAAGTCAAACTTTTCATGCAAAGATAGGGAGCAAAGACATCAACAGAGTTGCCGTGTATTCAGTTTTGGAGTTCCCGAACAAAGGGGCAACCCTGTAAATGTATTTGCTCTCTATCTTTGCATAGAAAGTTTGTCTTGACATAGAGATGCACTCTCAGGGTAGCGAAGGGTATACTTTTCAACTTTGAGAGCTTTTTTTGAGCTTTGGAGTCGATTTCAGAGAAAACCAGTGGCACCATCGAGTTTTTTTAAGTAGGCAATTGTACTTAAATCGCAAATTCCTAACACACGCGAGGGCTCCATTGTCGACCATTTCTGACTGAATCATTTATTAGCTTCAATTTGACTTCATTCAGCAATTAGGAACTAAAATTTCTGGTTTATTCGTAAAAACATTTATGTAAATAGGGAAACCTGGTACATGCACCGGAAAAAAAGGCGCTTGGATCTAGAGTCCAGACTCTTTAAAACAATGACAAGAAAAAGTACTCTTCATTTAATCGGATTTTTGCTTGAATCAAAAGGAAATCCGCTTAAATTAAGAGGCTTGGTTCTCAATCCAAGCAAAAATCCGATTGAATCAAGAGTATTTTTTCTTGTCATTGTTTTCAAGAGTCTGGACTTTAAATCCAAGCGCCTTTTTTTCCAGTGCAAGTACCATTGGTTTCCCTATGTACATAAATGTTTCTTACGGATAAAGCAGACATTTTAGTTCCTAATTAAGCAAAAATCCGATTGAATCAAGAGTATTTTTTCTTGTCATCGTTTTCAAGAGTCATGGACTCTAGATCCAAGCGATTTTGTTTCCAGTGTGTGTTGTTTCTACTCGGAGGCAGACATTGGAGAATGCAGTGGATATTAAGGATGTTTCTAAAAGGCGTTTTTTGTGTGTTTTTGGATTTAGACTCTTGCTCGGACGTGAACTGCGGGGAGGGCCGTAAGTGCGTGCGACGGTACAACGGCTCGGTGAAGTGCGTATGCGCGCCCGAGTGCCGGAAGATCAACGCCCAGATCAAAGGCCCTGTCTGCGGCTCCGACGGCCGCTCCTACAGGACCGTCTGCCGCCTCGAGAAGAGGGCCTGTCGCACACGCAACAGAACTCTCCAGGTCGTCTATCCCGGCTTCTGTCAAAGTGAGTCTTTCTCGAATTTCGCATTGGTCATGATAACCCATGGCCGATAGGCCAGCGGGCCGATTATTGAAACTGATAGACAAAGCTATAGACAAGGACGACAAAAGGGATTTGGAGGTATCCTATTGGTGGAAGCGGGTGGTTGCAATGGACAAAGGAGGTAGGTAATGGACTAACTAACGGCAACCCACGAGAGACCCGACAGTTAGTCTATCATTTTCTGCCTTTGTCTATGGGAACCACCCATTTCAACCAATAGGATCGCTCCAAACTCCCTATGTCTTCTTTGTCTATAGCTTTGTCCATCAATTTCAATAATCAGTCCGCTGGACTACTTACAGATCAGTAAAAAAAATTGAAACTTAATAGATCAAAAATAAAATCAAATATCAGTAAATGAATGAAACAGGATCTGTCAGAAAAGGACTTCGGCTTCCAAACATTCAAAGTAGAGTTATTGGTACCTACTCTAGCAACCGGAACTTTTGGCCTCCGAGCCCGAAACAGCACTGAAAAAAAAATTCGGTCATGTGAACCGAACGTTCGGTATTCCGTATCACCCCAAATATTCGGTTTGTCAAACTGAACTTCCGGTTCGTGTAACCGAGCGTTTGGCATATATGACCAAACTTCGTTCGTCATTTCATTTTACCGCACAAGTTTGGCTACGCGAACCGAAAGTTGGACAAACCGAAAATTCAGTTTGACGAACCTAATTAGTTGGGACCGAATTTCGGTACGTATGACCGAATTTTTTTCCAGTGATGGCATGTCTATAAAGGTCGTAAATTTTGTCTCCGCATTTGTCTATAAACAGTAATGAGCCGTCAGCCACAAATCAGGATCTAAACTGCCCATTTTGCATTTTTCCAGGTTCATGTGATAAGGTCCCGTGTCCAGACAACACGTTCTGCCTGTTGGATCAAAATCTGACGCCGCACTGCGTCAACTGCACCAAGTCCTGTCCACCGGCCAACGAGCCCATCTGCGGGGTCGATGGCGTCACCTACGAGAGCGAGTGCCATCTCCAGGAGGCCTCTTGTCGCAAGGGCAAAGCCATCTCCAAAGCATATCAAGGAAAGTGCAAAAGTGAGTACATCCTTTCTATCATTCATTCCTCACTCATTTACCAGAATCAACCTATGTACGTTAGCCGGCTCCTAATTTCCTCTCGATTTTTATTTTCTCTGCAGAAAATTAGTCAACATTCTAACTTGGAATTTTATGAGTATCATTCATAAACCAGGAAAAATTTTCAGCAAGTTTGAAATTCGTATTGTTTGTTTCTTGCAATATCCTTCTCGCGTGAAGAATCTAGGAGGAGAGGTTGCCGAAATAAGTTTTGAATTTGGCGCCCTTGGAAGAAGGCGACAGGGACATCCCACGGAGGGATGTCGACAGAGCGTCGACGAAGAGGTGTTGAGTTGTCATTGGGTGAGTTGCGTGGGTCACAGAATCGTGTTTTGATGCTCAATTCTTGTAGATCAGCTGGAACTAAAAATATCTGTCCAAACAGCAACTTTCTACGTTCAATATTACCCGAGATATCGCGCCTTGAAAAATTCAGCTCATGACATCATCCACTGCGGTAGTGATACCCATGGTTTCCTCCACCTTGCTTTCATCGTCACTGAGACACACATTTTCACTGGTTACTCAACGAGAAACTCGGATGAAAGGAAGGTGGAAAAAAGCAAGGGTGTCACTACCGCAGTGGATGACGTCATAAACCGAATTTTTCAAAGCCTGACATCTCGGTTAATATGATTTTCTATTTTGATAGATTTTATTATATTTAGCTGATCACAAGAATCACGCATCAAAACACGATTTTGTGACCATCGCAACTGACCCATCGTCGGAACCTAAACTTTTAATCGTTTCGACTTATAATCGATCGGAAGAAATGCAGTTTTCGGCTCGATTCTGCCCAAGACCAAGTCTATTAACTAAAAATCCTGCAGCGTCTGTGCTCCCTCTCATCGAATGACGTTCGTTCGAACGGTTCGTCACACGGAGAAAAAAACTTCGTGCGTGGGACCCGAAGTTTAGGTCATATGGATCTCTGAAGTTCTCAGATTGAGCATCTGAACTCTTAAGGTCTAGCTGTCGAGGTTCGGATCACACATCTGAAACTTCGGTTCTCACATCTGAAGTACTTCAGATGTAAGAACTGAAGTACTTCAGATGTAAGAACTGAAGTACTTCAGATGTAAAAACTGAAGTTGCAGATGTCAGACCTGAACTTCGGTAGCTAGACCTTAAGTGTTCAGATGCTCAATCCGAAAACTTTAGAGATCCATACAACCTAAACTTCGGGTCCCACGCACGAAGTTTTTTTCTCCGTGCAAAAAGCCTCAGTTCACGTACGTACAACAACCTTGCCGCGCATGGTAACCTGTTGCAGCGTTCCTGGTCGCGCAGCGATTTACCGAGGCCCCGCACTGCAAAGACATCCAAACCCAAGTGCAAAGTTGCCTGCACCAAGCTCCGAGGCCCCAGGAAGGGGGGGGAGGTGAGGGTGAACGGTCTGGTCCCGGGTCCCAGCATCCAGCTGAGCATCCATCGCCCGGGTTTGCTGGACCGTGCATTATTACGAATAATAATGAAATACGTGTATTGAACTTGAATTATCGTGATTTCTGGTGATGGATTCCGCAGCCTCATTCCAGCATCCCGCCTCCCGACGTTGTCGAATCGGTGCTTCGGCTCGTCCGAGGCGTGGAATTCGTGGGTGTGCACGGAAGACAAACTTCGATCACAGAGAAAAAAGTGTGTGAAGTGGGATAATAAAGGCATCCCCTGAAAAACAGACGCAAATGCATATCAACATGGCACCCGATTTCAAGGGATAGCGCGAACGACTGCATTTGTGATCTTCCACGCAAAAATAATGTCAATGGTGAAACTTTAAAGTCTTAGTAATTCGCAATTTAAAAAAAAGCGGGAAAGTTCTAATACTGTCGTATTAGAAAAGCGCTCAGGTGTTAGTCAATGTATTTAGTGAAGAAAGGAAGTATAAACTCCGTCGACTTGGCTGGGAAATGGAAATAAAACATCAGCTGATAGCAAACAAAGGTTACCAAGGAAAGCGTAAACGCGTTTTTTCGTTTCCCGAAAATGATTGCCACCGTTGAGCTCATCAGGCGCGTTTTTTTTAGGCTTCATTTGAGTTCAACGATCAATTTCGATAAGAATTACTCTACCGCTAAGGAAATTTCTTATAGACAAACGATCGTAACTACCGCGCATTACGTTAAAAGCATAAAATACGGTTATCACAGCTTTATTTATTTTAAAACTGGACCCCCCCCCCCAAAGCCTACACATCGATGAGCTATCGTGCGCCATCTAAACGAATTAGCGCTAGTACACTAGTATTCTAGAGGCAAGTCGAAATCAAAAAGCGCTGCCTATCGGCTGAGCGCTTAAAAGGGAGGTGTTTACAACTTGAGGATTGTTTACCTTGTGACGTAGGTCAGTACAACCTGGCCAGCAAAATTCGGAATTCGATTTTTGAAAAACGGAGCATAACGTTCGATTTTTTTGCTTAAATCAACTTATACTGGAAAAAAAACACATTGGATCTAGAGTCCAGACTCTTGAAAACATTGACAAGAAAAAATACTCTTGATTCAATCAGACTTTTGCTTAAATCAAAATGAAATGCGCTCAAATTAAGAGGCTTGGTTCTTGATTTAAGCTTAAATCAAGAGTATTTTTTCTTGTCGATGTTTTTTAGAGTCTGGACTCTAGATCCGATGTGTTTTTTCCCAGTGTATGATATAATTTCAAACACTTTATGTAGGTTGACTTTTTTTCCATAAACTACACAATTTCCGAAAAAATTGATGATGAAATTCGTTCGTGCTGACCTATGTCACCAAAAAAGTCCAAGATGCCCGAGATGCAAACACCTCCTTTTTTCTCTATGAACTTCGATTTCTATGGAACATCAAGGATTTTTGGTTCAAGTAATTGAAGTTTTCGAATGTAGGATCCGAAGGGCGTTTCTTGCAACCAGATCTTATCAAGGCTCTTGTTCCTTACCAGACTTTACGGAGCGAGGCACATGTCCGTTTTTCGAAGTTATTACTATACGCACTTTTCGGTAGGATTGTTGCCTATGCGATAAAATTGAACGTATTTTTCAACTTCACAAAATTGAACTTCTGTCGAAGTTCAAGTAGCGAGATGCATAAGAAGATGTTCAACAAGTGAGATGTATGTGCGTTTTTCGAGAAGATGACGACTTGCGCTTCTTGCTATGTTTGTTGCCTATGCGACGAACTTGTAGGCGAATCTGAAGTTGACGATTTCTGCCAACACTGCCGTGCTAAGGAAAAACGCCGTATGAGCCTTCAGGCGTTGCCAAATTTCTTTTGATAAAACACGAATTTCCTGGTAAACTCGTGAATATTTTCCGTCCAATTATTTAGGTAATTTTGTTCTCAATTTCACCTAAAGTTCCTGAAAATTTCAAGGAAAAATATTCATCATAACTGTCCCCAAAAATAAACATTTTAGCGGAGAAAATTTGGCAACTCTCGAATGTTCATACGGCGTTCCTCCTTAGCTTGGCAGAATAGGTTCACGCATTCTTTTTTTCTTCATTGGCTCAATCTGTATGTTTGAAAAAAGAAGCGATTTCTTGTGTCAGTGAGATCTGAATATCTATCAGGCCGAATCTCTGGAAATTTTTTTAAGTGTAGCGATGCATTTGAAGATTTGCGAGGAAATTCGATCAGATTTGAGTCTTTGAAATTTCTCATTTTTTTTAAAAAAAAAATAAGAAAGGTTTCGTTCATGGATAGGCACTGCAGTAATTTTTTCTTTGTTGCTTGGTACGGAATTTTTTCGAACTCTTCAGCGGAAAGAAAAAAAAATTGAGATGTGCACACAATTTTTCCTGAAGTGATCATGACATGATTTTGTCGATTGCCGCATTCGTCGCTCTTAGATCAGAGAAGGTAGTGGCGTACTCACATCTTAAGACTGCAACGAAGCAACGTTGTTGGTATATGCTTAAATTTATGAATCATTCCAGGGCCGGATTTACCTACTTGCCGTCCATGGGCCGCCTGTATTTTTCCGTCCCCTTCTCATTCAATTTGAAACATGAATAGATTGTATTCGACATAGTGGTTCAATGTATCGTTTGGCTCAAAACAATCGAACACAACCTCAAACAAAAATCTTAGGATTTAATTTGGAAAAGCTGAAAATGATAAAATTCCTAACAGTTTTACTTTTCATCGCCATTTGGTACTCGAGAGAGTAAAAATTCGATTACATAAGACCTGTTACCTCAGATTTTTAAATTGACTTTTGAGGCTGTGGTTACATATTGAACCAATCGTTATCAATATAATCTCGCCTGTGTGATCTGTCGAATACGATCTATAAAAACCCTTCAAGTGAACGTGCCGGTAGAGGAGGGGTGTATAAGACACGTTTACTCGTGTTGGGCACATTTTTTGTAAAAGCCCTGTCAACACCTAACAAAAGTTCAGTTCCGTAAACCCATCCCTGTTTGGACAAGGCCTTCCATTTATAAAAAAGAACGAAAATTATGAAAGAACAAACATAAATGTGGTTAATAATTTTAACTTCCACCGCTGCGCCGACCGCACTGTGTTGGCGCAATGTGTGAAGTATTCATGCAGTCTTGTAGGCGCTATGCGTTTCGCGCCGACTGCTGCTGACCGCAGTGTGTTTGACGCAATGCGTGAAGTATTCATGCAGTCTTGTAGGCGCTATGCGTTTCATGCCGACCGCCGCGCCGTTCCGTTCCAGGTCAAATTGCATGTTTGGTTTATCTCTTAACTCGACTAATTAAAGGTGCTGTCTCTTGTACCACCGAAAGACGACGAAATTAGAAATTACTATACTTTTACGCTCAGGATATGAGAGATTTTATCGCCTTTTCTCGTTTGTAATTTATTATCTGAATCCGATTTTTTCTCTCTTTTTTTGATACCTACATTCAAAAAGATTGCAAAATTTACCGCCATGGGCCGCGGCCCATGTGGCCACCCCCTTGTTCCGGCCCTGAATCATTCGGAAAATTTATAATGTCACGATAATAA